TATGCGTTTTTCGCATTGCATTGCTGCAAAAAACGCATAAAAACTGAACCTGTGCGAATGGAAATTGTCCTATAAAAACTCACAGTCAGAACGGAACTCCCTGTTTATGAAGCTCATGCTTAGGTGTAACTGAGAGCGAACAATTTCGATTGTGGGTGTAAAGTGAGCAAAAAGGGGAGACTGGATGCATGTGGATGGAGCCAGCCTTTGCTTCCGTGAGATTCTTGAGGCAAAAAACAATAAATAGCTAAGCGCACCAGGGTAGCCGGTGCGATCATACGTTTTGCGCAGTTCCGTCCAGAGGACGTTTGCTTACTAAAAATATAACTGTTTTACACTTTCGTATATGAAAAAGTAGTGGTTGTGTTGTCTGGCTCCTAGGGTGAGGGATTTCCCAGTGGAAATTTCACGTGCCGGTACGTGAAAGCTGAGTTTTGAAAACATGGATGAGGAAAATTCTTATAAATTTTAGCCTTCTAGTTTTCCAGCTTCTGAGCTAGTGACTTTCACATCAGAATCTCACGTAACCTTGCGTAGATCTCTGCATACTTGAAAGATAAATTTGAGTTTGTGAGATACTTGCAACGGCAGAAAATATCGTCCAGAAAGCTTCCTAACTTTCAGGGTTCCCGAGGTAATTTTCCGCCACAAGCCGTACGCAATACCCAAGCGCACGGGAAAACTGAATTTAAATTTTTCTGGGTCGCACGTGGTCGAGTGGCATACCCATAAAATTCCAGCTCCCTAGCCTTCGTGGTTCCTGAAATAATGATTTTACCCACCAAGACTTTTACGAGTCCGTACATGCTACCCACAGGCAAGGGAACCCCGTGACAATATGCGTCTTGTACTGCTGTTACACAGAAAATAAAAATACATAAGAATGTATGTGTTGTGCGCAGTCGCAAGTTGCCCGGTGCAAAATAGTGAAACTGTTTGGTGTTTTTGTGGAAATTCAATCGAACCTATTCCTCCTCAGGTTCGCCTAAGCATCATCATAAACAGGGAAGCCCTCTGCTGACGGAGAGATTTTGTAAAACAATTTCCACTCATGCAGTGTAGTTTTTTTGCTTTTATTTATAGGTAGTGATTCTTTGATTTTGCTTTTTCCTCACTTTCACTCATAAACTCAGGTTTAATTTACTTTTCTTTGTAGTGCTGTGTTGTTTCTTCCTCTTTGCTGCTGTGTCCAGTTCTTGCCTCAAACTTCTCACTAGTATTTTTGTCTCACTCCTAGATCTTGTTTCTCAATCCCTGCCGCCAGAGCGACATTTGGCCACCCGCTAACCAGCACCACGCGACCACACCTTATCTTTCACGCACCACCTCAAACATGCCATCCAACCACTGGCGCTTGTTAACGCTACTCAGCGTTCGTTCTAAAACATATTAAGCAGTACCGGCAAGCAACACCCCGAAATAACGTTAGCAAAGAAACGAGAGTGTCCTCAAATCGCGGCCGAGCCGAATCGGGTTTTGGTAATTGCCCTTGGTTCGAAGTTGTAGCGCTTACTAAAACTCGGCTTGCCGTATGTACTTATTTTTGGGTGCGGGTTCGAGTCGCGAAGGTCGTGGTACCGAGTTTTTTTTTCTTGGTGAAATAATCTACGTCCCTTTCAGGGTTTTCAGAATCAAATTTTGTATCGTAATAAAAGGTCTTCTTCCCCATAACCCCCTCCCCTCCCCCTACTTCAACTTCCTGCGGGGTCTCAGCTCCTTTGCGGGGAGTGGGCGGATTTATGTCGGTTTATGGTGCTAAGCAGCAAGCTAGATGCTGAGTGGCAAGCTTGTACCTACACTCCAAAATCCCACCGAAGCAAAAATTCAGCAGTTACGTACAGTTGTGATTCCTTCGGCTCTACGCAAACCCAGGGGCGAATTCATTCTGCGCGGCCGAGCGAGTTTTGCTAATTGCTCGGGGGCTTTTTTTGATTTTTATGCGTTTTTGCATATTATGCAAATGCGAATGCACATATTGGCAAGAGCTTTTTATATTATTTTGGAGCGGTGCGGGGAGCTGGTCGTTTCGATGGCCGTTTGCATCGCTGTCAAAGTGCTAGGCGGTACTGGAAAAGGCGCAGCTGCCGGATGTTCCAGGAAGGAGCGGGGTGGCCACGTCTAGAAAAGCGTGATGAAGGAGAGACAAATTAGCACTGAAGGAGCTGGCGTGGATGCGCCTTTGTATATAATTATATAAAAATCTATATAATTATTTGCATAAAAAAACTTGGATATGGAATATCTTCGTGAAATTTCAGCTTTCCAGCTTGTGCAACTTTCGAAATCGCTTCTTCGCTGCAATTTTTTTTTGACATGCACCTGTGTATGACGCAGAAACGTGCTGGCATCTTTCATTCCACTACTAATACGGAATTTTTTCAGAGTTGTTGGTGCATAAAGATGCTGCTGTAGCACAGGATAGTTGGGATGCTTCAACAGGGGACATCAGTTTTGAGGATTTCGGTGCGTTTTCTGCGAAATAATAAAAAATGGTGGCCGAATCCAAAGCCCGAGACTTTTGAACGTAAGTCCCATCATTTGCTATTCATTGGGATTGAGTTTGTTGGACCCTCTCTGAAGCCGAGTTTTCGACTTTTCCTGGCGATCTTTTGGATTATATGGCTCTACTTCTGGCCCCACCAGCGTTTGGTGAAATTAGAGCCCTTCGAACTGGTTGCTTTGTATGTGGCCTATGATTGTCTCGCCAGACTTCGTTTTGATCGAGAGGGTTTGCTTTCTGAATTCTGCAATGTGGGGGCTCGAACACCGTATGGGATTATTTTCGAATTCGGAAAGGGACTAATCTGGCTGGAAAGACGATTTCCTTCGTCGGCAGCGGTAATAATATCTTTTCCAGTGCACTGCCTGGAATTCCCAGAAAGCTGAAAATTCGTACTTTGTGGTTTTTTGTCTAAACAACTGGCAATTTTTTGTTCTATGTTAGCCAGTTTGGCTGTTTTTTGACATTTATATTTACATTTATATCGGCAGTTACATTGGCCACTGGCGACTTCGCCTACTGCAGGGATTACCAGATCAGCGATTCCCTTAGCAGAAGCATTTTGGCAGGGTTTTAGCCTTTTCAGTGTGTTAGTATACCTGTTAATCTGATTGTAGCATACAAGTAATATTAAGAACTTAAATAGGGCGGGAATAAAACGAACTGTGTGTTGATGAGTGTAGATATATAGCTGTCAAGCTCGATCATCTCACTGCAGGAGTTACCACTACAGAGATTCTTTCTTGTCGATGAGCTGAGTATCTTTTTTTTTGTCATCACTAATTGACGTGCAAAATGCTGCCCTGTATACATGCTTAAGAGATTTGCAAATTCATAACGTGACTCATGAACTCCATGGATATTTCGTGTGTGAATAATGCAGTTAGCCAGGGATGATCGGGATTTAGTGCTACGATCGAACAGGTTGTCGAAAGTTTCCGGGCAGCCTGCTCCCAGGGATCACAAAAATTGCGGGACGGTAACGTTGCTGTGGCGACTGACGGTTTTCCTTGTTCAGCAGGCCGTAGAAATTGATTGTGAGGGATATCAATGGGCCGAAGATGCAGCTTACAGTGTGTTGTGCATAATATGCCCGCTACGAAGCGCTGAATTGCGCCGAGTTCGGTGAACAAAGCTAGGTGTAAGCGCAAGCCCTAAGTAGTGAGGTGCCCTTATTAAAGAGGTATTCTAGCCATCAGCTTGCTTGTTAGAAACACGCAGAAGAGGGAGCCATCGACAGCCTTACCAGCGAGTGGTTGCTGTTGGCATTTGCCACCAATCGGACTGCGAAATACGGAGAGGGTTTTGACTTTTGACTTGATGAGCGATAGCTTGTGTCATTGCTTCTCTGGGTTATTGCAGAACTTAAGTTCACCACAGTTATGCAAGTACCACAGTGTAATGGAAAAGCGAGCTGTAGGCTCCGAAAAGGAATATTATGGAAACAGAAAAGCCAGCAAAACTCGCAGCTTTTCATTTTCATTTTTGTCGTATGCATAAGCAATTATGGTGGTCATTTAAGGGCATTTTTACAGATGTGGTTTTCCCACCGGACGGCCAGTATAAGCTTCCAGCAATGCCGGAGGAGCCCACTTATGAGCCGACTCTTGGCGAGCAGAAGTACAAAACTTCGACACAGCTCGTTGATACGCGCGGTTTTGAGGAGATACATACGGAGCTGATCCACAAGCAGTACGGACTTGCTGCGGTAGCCGGCGGTTTCATCTCCTCCTACGACTTCAAATTTATTCGAGTACCTTTCCAACATTACACCAACCAGTTTTATTTTTCCGTTATACTGTTATTTACGGTTAAGTGAAAATTTAGTTGGAAAATGTACAAATGGATGATGGAAAAAGGTCAAAAAGGAATAAAAAAGAAAAGATGTAAAAAGAAGTAATAAATTAGGTAAGAAATGTTTCGGTCCATTAAGTCGTATACATTTTTTACCGTTACCACAGTTATATTGTACACGTGTGTGTACTGCGTGTATGTGCCCGCATCATTCTGTCCGAGTCCTTCCATGTAGCAATAGCACTTGCTGGCATAGGCTCACTGAGTTCACGTAACTCCGTTGAGACTCCATGTTGTATCCTTTCGCATCACTGATGACCTTAACAGCATTCTCAGGTATCACTAAGTAACCTCTGTTATTCTAACTCTTTTCACATAGTCACACAGCCTTGGTGATATTCTTCATGCACGGCGCAAGTATAAACTACAGTTGTGGCAGAAGGTTTCATGTTTTCGACCACTGTCAATCAAATTTTTTAAAAGGCATTGTTCGGCGTTAACATTTGTCGTGGAGTGCGAGAATTCTTGTATTTTCCAGGAACGTCTAAACAAAAATCTTCTCAAGAACCAGTTTGCAATATGGCGGGTACCGGCACCCTGGCTTCCTCGAACGAAGAAGGCTATCGGTGCGAAGGCGGGTAGTGGCAAGGGCAATATACATCATTACGTCACTCCGGTACGCGCGAAAAGGATTATCCTGGAATTGGGCGGCCATGTTATGGAACTCGAGGTAAAAAAAAAAATCCTGAATTATGAGTTATTTAAGAGTGTTGTTGATGCAACTGCTTCAAATTAAAAATCGGTATCCGGTTGAGAAGTTGGTTTTGCGCAGATCAACCAGGGTGTATTGCTAGTCGTTATTTGCGACGTTTTCCGAACTTGTCGATGCCAATTCTGCAAAATTTTTTGATTTTTTCTAAGTAAAAAAATTGCTGGTTGTATTAGTTTGGCAGGATGAAGTCGAGATACTTTAATGAGTAAGTGCCAAAAATTTCCTTTCGAGATTGTTGGGTAGCATTTTTGACGATTTATGTCGTGAGAGTTCGAGCGTCTTCGTGCTGCAGTCTGATGGGTTAGGCCGTTTCTGCTGAATAACCTGGTTTTAGCAGTGCATTTTGGTAGCATAGAGATCCCTGTTGGTTTTGCACTGAATTATGCTTTCCTTATCACAGCACACGCAAGTCTTGCTCATCGATGATGAAGTCCCTTTTTTCTCCCTTTTTTGCTTCGTATCTTGCGCGGATTTCTCGGCTCGCTTCACTGCATTAACGCTGCGATGAAAGGCCAAAAATAGAGGGATAACCATTTTACCACTTGATCTTGTGGAGTAATGAAAAAGTTTTCTTGGTTGGAACAAAGTAAATTAGTGGAGGAACAAGGACTGGGAATTTTTAGCGACTAACTGAATAATTAAAAATTTGTGTTGAGAAGCAACAATATGTAATTCAGGAATTGTTCAGATAATAAGGATAATTAGTACCAGAACCGCACGAACTGTGTTGCACGGACTCCACACTAAATATGTCAAGCTATTTCTGATCTTCCTTCCTTGAATTACTTGTTTTTAGTCGACACCACGATTCCTGAATACGCAAACCTCTCTCAGGCTGTTAAAGTGGCATTTTTGCACCTGCCGGACGGCGCTTAATCACGCGTTTTCTGCATTTATGCAATGCAGAAAACGCATGTTGACGAGGGGTTGTCTGTGTGCATCTGTCACGGTTTTTCATCTCAAGACCTACAAAAGCTGCAGGGTTGAAACTTTGGGAACTTAATCTACATGCATGTACACGTCTCAATCCCCGAAATGGGCGCTCTTACCCGCGGTAACCACGTATGGACCTGTGGAAGTTTTTTGCGGGTAAGTTGCTAACTCGGGAAGCAGAAAAGCTAAAAAGCTGAAATTTTAAGGGGGTTTTCCTCCTCCATTTAAGTCCCAGTGAGCTCAAAATCAACCCTCGGGTGTGTGTGGTGCCCACGCACGGGCCTGCCAAAGTTTTTTTTTCGAGTAATTTGCTAACTCGAGAATTTGAAAAGCTAGAAGACTGTATTTTTAAGAGGATATTCCCGGCCCACGTAAATCTCAATGAGCTCGATAGACATCAGGTATGCGTGGTTCCCACATACGGGCTGGTGGAACTTTTTTTCAAGTAACTTGCTAACTCGGAAAACTAAAAAGTTAGGAGGCTGCAATTTTAAGGAGATATTCCCCATCCACTTAGGTATTAAATAGCTCAAACCCAGCCCCCTGGGTATGTGTGGCGCCCACGTGCGGGCCCATGAAAGTTTTCTTCGAGTAAGTTGCTAACTTGGGAATATAAGAAGTTAGAGGATTGGAATTTAAACATACTCCTGGCTGCCAGTCTTAATTTGTTTGGTTAGAAGCATTTGCCGGAAAAATCGGTGCCGGTTGCGACAAAAATTGCGGGGAACTAGGGGAAAAACGCATTTTCGCACCGTCAGCCGGTGCTCGGGCCAATTATTTTTATTGTTGAGAGCATTAGGAAGATATCTATTTCGCAATGAATAGCACGTTTTAGCTTTAAAGCTTATTTCGAGAATTTTGGGAGTTTTTGAGGTTTGATGAAAAGTGCCGTACCTCATTTAGCAGTCGCTCAACACTTATACAACTACGATGGAATTATTGTTTTTTTTTTCTTTTTTTTGGAGGACTGTTTGCGAGGCTGTAGGCAAGCAGTGTTAATTCTTCCTTATCTGATCACTGATTTTGATTCTCTTTTATTGACAGAAGCGTAGTGAGCTAGCAACGATTCAGTTCCAGCAAATTTTTCTTAGAACCGAGACTGAGCGCGAAAACAACCTGCTATTGCTTGTGTGAAATATAGTTTGTTTTAGTCTCATTGTTTTTGGCAGTAATTTTGGAAATATTTCAGGCCAGAGGTTATCTGATGTATTTGTGTGAGCGGTTCAAATTTCCGGTCGAATTTGTAAGTGAAAAGATACTGCAAGAGAGGAAACTGGAGGAGAAGGAAATCGAACGCATTAACGTTAATAAATTCAACTGGGAGCTCGCTCTGAAGTACAACATGCAGAACTGCCGAGGATGGCTCAACTACTACGATGTTGCGTTCAAGTGTAAAAAGGTTTAACTTGCTGAGGAACTGGCATTCCCTCATAAACCTCGCGTATTTGAAATTATTTCCCCCAGTGAACAGTCACTTAGTTGTAGTGCATTCGTGCATCTTCACTTCAGCTGGCAGTTTTTTCGTAAAAAGTTTCATGTACTGATTAACCGATTATTGATCCCGGTTCCAGTTTACCACCGCCATTTTCCGCTGTTTTGAAGAAAATTGTTTATTATATTCCTTTAATTGCTTATACGATTTCAAGCTGATAGCGACTCATTAGACTACTCTGTAACATATTTCAGAACTTCTGATTTTTTAACACTGTTTTCCGCAGGAGATTTCACAGAAATTAGTCATAAGAAATTTAAGATAAATAGCGACGCGCACCAGGATAGTCAGTGCAACCATGCTTTTTGCGCAGCTCCGCCCAGTGAGCGTTTGTCTGCTGAGGATTTTCACTGCTTTGCATTTTGGTCTGTGCAAAAATAGTTGAAATGTCTGATTCCTTTGTTGCGAGATTTTCCGCTAAAAATTTCACGTGCCGGTAGGCAAAAGTTGAATTTGAAATCTTGGGTGTTTAATATCCTTTCAAAATTTCATGTTCCTGAATTTTTGGATTTTGAATAATTTGTGCGATGCTTTTACGTAATCGTACATGAGACCTTGGCATAGTTAGGAACTGAATTTGAATTTTTGAAGCCCCTGCTTAGGCAGAAAACATTCTGAAATTTTCAGCCTCCTGTTTCTTCTGGCTCTCGAGAAAATAATTTTTTCTCGTCAAAACTTTCACGGGTACATTGAGATTCAGGGTTACATGAAAGCTGAATTTGTATCTGCGAGGTTCTACGTAGGCAAGGGAGGTAACCCTAAAATTTCAGCTTACTAGCATTCGTGGTTCTCGGGACATCAATTTTTCCCGCCAAACACGGGACCGTAAATGATACCCAAACGTAGGAGAAGGCTGTGTTTAAATCTGAGGAGTCGTACTTGGGCAGGGGACACTACCGTAAAATTTCATCTTAACATTTGCAGTTTACGAGATAATAATTTCTTTGCCAAAAATTTCACGAAGCCACAGGTGGTATCCAAGGGCGTGTAGAGGCTGAGTCTAAATTTGCAAGGTCACGCGTGGGCAGAAGGACCTTCCCTCATAATTTCAGCTTAACTTCTATAGTTTCCGACTTGAAAGTTGTGGATAAGATATATCGGACACACATACACTTATATACGTACATATATA